TTCTTTCTCCCCAGCCGCACACTTTCTTCCCCTTTCACCCACGCATACAGGTAATTAAGAATTATGGGCCTGGGAGTCGAGGCTGAGCAGAACTTATTAATTTCTGCATTATTTAAGCGTGTAATTTATGTGTTCAGCTGGCATTTTTAATTGCATTACACGGCGGAAGGTTAATGCATGTTAAATGCATAATGAGCACCGCAAGCCGATGGGAAGTTGAAAAGGGCGGTGGAGCAAAAGGAAGAAGTGTCATACGAGGTGACGTTGCATGGCGTTTGTTTTATTAATTGAAGTTTAATCAGCGACAGCTGCCACAAGTCACGTATCATTTCCCATTTTCCCTTTCCCCAACTGGCTGGCAAAGGTCAAATCAAATGATAATAAAGCCACTTTAACGAGCTCAGATGCATCTTAAAACCACTTCAAACTAACTTCGACTATCTAAGATCTTTCGCCAACGACTTTCAGCTGAGTGCTCCTTCTATTCGATTCTTTTTATGTTGGCACCTCTAGTTTTACACAAATTATTTCCGATAACATCTTGAGAGTCTTGTCGCTCCTTTCCTTTCTTTTCGCTGGCCTGAACCTTTTAATAATTTCATTTAGCGCGAAATTGTCTTTAGCCAAATTGAATTAAGCCACCACCCATTCCTTGGCAACCATAAAAGGCGACTTCATCGTTTTACTTTCCTCGCATCTTTATAGAGTCTTTAGCTGCACTGCACAAAAATTGTTGAATGTTAATAAAAAATTTTTAGCTTGTTTTAAAAAGGAGAATTCATTTAATGCCAATTCTTTAAAGTTATTATTATTTGTGACTTAAAAATATGTTGTTTTAAAACTTTTTCGGTTGGCTTAGAATTAAATTCCAACTTTTATGAACAAAGTTTTTGGGTAAACTTGATCGTAGTGTGTTAAGGTCAGCTTAACCCAAACTTAAAGGTTGGCAGTTGACTTGGCCTAATGGCGCTCAAGATGCTTCAAGAACTTGGCCGCAAAGTGGACATTGTTAAGGGGAATGGTACCTGATTGGAAATGGAATTCGAAAGTGGCATAGACGGGTCCCAAACATTTGACCACGTAAAGCAATTTGCCAACTGCATTGATGTTAGCTTAAAAGCCTTGTCAAAAACAAAAAAGTAGGAAAAAGGGAAAAAATCAGAAAACCCAACACTTTTGGCATTTCGAGGGTTTAACGGAGAACGGAAAAGAGCAAGGACAAATAAAATGCAAATGTAAATAAGTAAATAAAATATACACAGTTGACATTTTGTTTGCTGGGCGGGGAAAATGGGTTGCTTTGCACACAAAATGTGTGAAGAGACCTCCGAAGGGGGCGTGAATTGTTTAGCCAAATTCATTGGGCCAAAAAGCATCGCCTTTCCCTTTCCTTCTCATAGGTTTCTCTGTTCCGCTCTCTCTCTTTATTTTTAGCCATAGCTATGGCCATACAGAAGGTGAGCAACAGTTGCAGCAGGGAAAACGCAAACTTTTCCTTCTGTTTCGCTAGACAGGCTGACAGTCTGACGCGCGCCACCTAGTGGCCGAAACTCTCAACTTTGATATTCTTTGGCCATTATTCTATTTGCAATTTTGCGCACAAACAACGCCAAATAAATAAGCAAATTGAAAAAATGTGAAACAAAATAATGCAAACAAACTGGAAAACTGCAAACTGTCAGGGGAGTGAAAATATAAAGCGGTGGTCTTCGTTGGTGGGAAAACGAGGGGGAGAAACTTGGAGGCTGAGGAATCTACCATTTTGGCACATGGCAATTTCCGTTGAGTGCACATGACAAAAATGTGGAATGTGCATAAAAAGTGCAGAGAGGAGTGGCTCCTGAGAGGGAAATGAGAGGGGGAGGGAGGGAGGTGGAATTCCTTTCGCAAACTGGCAAAAAGTTAAAAGTTTAATTGTGCGCAACTTTGGGCAGGATGTGATGTCAAGCCAGGCAACCGGGCCAAAGGACATCTGTGACAAGTTCTATTAAGTTTATTTTATATATTCTCACATTTTGCATTTAAACAAAGCACTACGTGCTGCCACAAGCCTGTTGGTGGTGGTGCAACCAGGAGAGCGGTAAGAGGGGGAGGGGAGTGGGTTAAGTAGGTGCAATCTGGCAGGGATCTGGGGACCAGGGGTCACTCGATTGTGTCGCACACACTTTTATATGGCAGGTTGCGCACACTTGACTGCTCGATGGCCCCAGAAGTCAGCCACTTTGCATCAGTTTCAGGACTCTTGGGCGGCACTCTCGCTCTCTGTTCCCTCATCCATTAAAATAAGTTTTCAAATTGGCAGTGGTTAGTTGAAAACTTCAATACGATTTTTTTACTGAACTGTAAAATTAAAAACTGAGATTGGGTAAAACATTGTTTTCAAATGGTAAAAATTTAAGTTTTTTAATAAATTTTGTTTCAATTATATTTTATATAATATAACAATTGTTCAATATCATATCTCAAATAATCCTAGTTTCCTTTTCCATTTTAAGAAAACTAATTCCAAGTTTTTAAATATCAAAACTTATCTAAAACTTCACAGATTCTTTCTTTGATTTACATATTTTCCTTTCCATTGCTTTTTCTGCTGCACATGTTGTCTAGATGTTGATTTTCATTTAAATCACAAATTTTTGCGCAGTGGAGCTAAGGGAATTGGCTTCCTTGCTCATAAAACGTTTAAATGAAAGAAAAGCAATATGTTGCCGCCTGCAGATGACAAGCAAACATCGTGGCCAGGATGCACCGGGGATAAGGGATATGGGGATATGGTATAAGGGATCTGGGATCTGGGATCTGGCTTTAGCCCCTTGGCTTGAGGTCTCTGTAAAATATTTACCAACCATCAGCCGCTGTCATACTTTTTTAATTGACTTATCAATAATTCATGCAGCTCTCTCACACACACACAGACCAACACACACACTCACACACGTGAAGAGCCGAAAGAAGTGGGAGGACAGAGCCGAGAATGAATACTCATAAATACAAATGAAGTCAGATTGCAGTGTGAATGAATAGGAAGGCAGAGAGAGTGAGAGAAAACGGAGGTGGAAAATGGGGGAAAAGGGGGAGGTGAATTGCATTTGCAACTCTTTTTCCAGGTTCAGGTCAACGACTCTCAAAGCCAAGCCATCTTTTTTTTCTGTTCCTTTCGCACTGCAGGAAGATTGCCTTCGTTTGCTCTTCGGCTTGATATTTATTTTGATTAATTTAAGTCTCCTAGTCAGTAATATTTTTCATTTTCATGTGCAACTTTATCTTCTTTCGGCTTGCATCTTTCTCGCCTTTTATTTTGGGTGAGATTTCAGGGGGAAGGGGGAAAATTGCAGTGCAGCCAAGTGATTGATGCATTTTTAATGCGAATTTCCGTAGGAGAACTCCAGCAGCAAAGGCAAAAGATTTTCACAAAAATATATAGCATTTGAAAAAAATATTCCTTCTACATTATGGTGAGTTACTCGATTAAATAAAAGCCAATAAGAATCCTTTAAAGGTACGCTTCAAAGAAAAAAAATGTTGCAAAGTAAGTCCTTTAAAATAACGGATTAGTAACACCTCTTAAACTCTAGAAAATCAAAACGTAATGTATTCTTTACGGCTCTTTTACAACCAAAATTTAAAAGTAAACCTTTCGGAGCCACCCAACTGTTTTCCCCTTTAACCTTTGGCCAACTATTCAGCAACCTGTGCGATAAAGAAACTCAATAAATTTCACAAAATCACGCGCACATAAAAATCCATAATCGCAGTAGCAACGAGGAAAGTAAAACAAAAGTAAGAACATTTTTTGTTATCAAGGATGAAATCAAATTTAACGCATCGCTTGGTAGTAGTGGTAGCCCCCACCCCACCCCCTTTTACACCCCCTCCCCCTTTAAACCCCCTCCAACCTTTTGCTGGGGGGCTTCGGATGCGTGTGTAAGGCCACGTACCCACTTGACATGAAGGCAGTGCAGCGAAGCGAACGTTGGGTGGTTTCGCTGGGTTTGGGTGGTTCAGTGGGGGGCGTGTGTGTTGGTGGGTCGGTGGGTTGGGTGGTTGGGCACGTGCCGCGCGGATTACGCGTGGCATGCTGCTGCGAAGAAATATGAAAGGAAAGCAGCGTGAAATATGTGTAGCATAAGACAAGGCGCATAATCAAAATGTAAGCAACAACAAGAACAACAAACAGCGCCAGCAGTGGCACCACCAATGGATGCACATGCCACTTACACAAGTGCAAAACCCCTACCCCATCCCCTCTCCCCCTCTCCCTTTTTCTCTGGCTTCATAAAGCAGCAGGCTCCCCCTTTTCGGCCAAAAACAAAGGGCGCCAAACAAAAATCTTACGCCCGAGCTGCCAGTTGATGTAGCGCACCATTATTTCAGGGGATATCAAAGGGGCGGCGCTCGATGCACTGGGCCAGCAGCACTCGACATATCGATCATACTTTCTATTGCCGTTGAAAATCAGGCGAAAGTCTTTAAATGAATCAAATGAAAGCGAGTGATTGAAAGGGATTTCCATCTGGCACATGTGTTGAAGTCTGTGTTTTCCATAAAGATTAACTGCAGCTATATAAATCATTTTTAAGCACAAATTGAACGAGGACTCTTTGAAAATAAATGAAATATAATAGCTTTTATTGAAAACTCTTTAAAGGAAATGTGAGCCTGAGCTATGGGTTTAATTTTGGCATTTAAACTCCAAGCTTCCTAAGATAATCCCCAGAATAATTTGCATGGACCTTGCTTATGTACATAAATGTAAATTTTAGCCCCAATTCTAGTACTCTACTTAGAGATTTCGGCTGGCAGGATAACTTTCCGCAATTCTTTGCCAACAATATTTCAGTATGCAGGATTTCGTATTCCCCAAGCTGTCACTTTTGTCGCATTTCGCTGTTGGGCCAAGAACTCTTTTTCGTTTTCGCTACCCCAAATTTATTTTGTACTTCTATTTTGTCTGCCGTATATAGTATCCTTTAGATGGAGAAATGGAAGCTGTCACTCACCTCTTCCTCGTTGCTGGCCGTGTTCACCGAGTCCATGCTCTGCGAAAGTCCCAGCGGGGCCAAAGCCATTTGATTCTCCATTATGGCGTTGCTGTTGTTGTTGCTGTTGATGTTGCTGTTGCTGCTGCTGTTGCTGTTGTTCAGATTGTTGTTGCTGTCGCTAACGGCCGATGCTGCTGGTGTACCAGCTGATGTTGCTGCTGTTGTTGCTGCCGCAGATGCTCCTGTTGCTCCTGTGGGGGCGGCGCTGGTGGCGCTGCCTGCCGGCGAGGGCGTGGTCGGCGCGGAGGCGGTCGCGGAGTTCGACTCGTGCGAGTGCGATTCGTGGGCGGGACTGTCCGGCAAGCTGCCGCCGCTAGTCGAAACCGCAGCAACGGATGTTGCAACTGACACAACTGCTGCTGCTGCTGCTGGGCTGCTGCTGCTGTTGCTGTTGCTGCTGTGCTTGCTGTTGCTGCTGCTGTTGCTGCTGCTCAGTAGAATGTGTTGCTGTTGCTGCTGCTGCTGTGGTGCGTATCTGTGCAGCTGGTAGCCGCCGTAGTGGGCCAAGGATTGCTGCTGCACCTGCTGTTGCTGCTGCAGATGCTGATTCAGTAGGGCTGCTGCTGCCGCCTGGTTGAACTGCGCCAATCGCTGTTGCTGCTGCTGCTGCTGTTGCTGCAACTGCACTTGCGGTGAGGCGGCAACTGCGTAGGCAACCTGTTGCTGCTGCACTTGCTGCTGCTGCTGCGCCTGCACTTGCTGCTGTTGCTGCTGCTGTTGCTGTTGCTGCTGCTGCTGCTGCTGTTGGTGGTGGGCGGCAACGGCGGCCGCGAACTGCGTGGGATGGGCGAAGCTCAGCTGGTGGTGGTGCGGATGCGAGATCGGATGCGAATGCGAGATCTGGTGCGAGTGGGCGATCTGGTGCGAGTGCGCGATCGGGTGACCCTTGACCGAGACGGGCAGCGGCACGGGCACGGAGACGGGCAGCGGCACGGAGACCGGAACGGGCACGGGAACGGTCACCGGCAGAACGGAGACGGCGGCGGCACACTGGCGCTTGGGCGACGGCGACAACACCTGTGGGGCACTTGCTGGCGTCTGCGGCAGCGTCGGCCTGCGTTTTATCGCAATCGACGAAATGGTGATGGCTTTTTCAAACACCGCCTGCTGGTTGTTGTTGTTGCTGCTGTTGTTGTGGTTGCTGCCTGGGCTTACGTTGCTGTTGATCTGATTGATCGGAGTGATAATCGAACCAAGAGGGTTGTTGCCTTGGTTGCTGCTGATCGTCGTCGTCGGCGCTACTGGCAACAGGTGTTGCAGTTGCAGTTGCGGTTCGGCGGCTGCTGCAGCGGCGGCGGCGGCGGTGGCGGCTATGAGCAGTTGATGATGGCTGCCCAACAGGTCCTGGTAGTTGGCTATTTTGACGAATCAGTTGAACTAGAAAATAAGAGGGAAAATTATGAAATTAGAGAAAGGCTTGTAAATTTCTAATTACTAAGTATTGCATTTTTAATGCTACTTAAATAAGCTATGACCTTTGCTCTTAATATTGAAACCATTCTTAAAATTTTAGAACCCCAAACAAAAGAGGATCTGAAATTTTAACTTTGAATAGAAGTCAAATATTTGGGCAGCGTGTGAGTTATTGTTTTGCGCATATGCAAATAGTACTTCGATATGTCGAAATACTTTCGGGTTTATTTAACATAATGCAAATGTTTACAAAAGAGAAAAGTGAGTGAGGGGATGGGGCGAAGGTCTCGAACAACACTGCATAAATCAAAAGCAAATATGACGACAAATGTATTCGACGGGGGGTGAGAAGCAAAAGCGAGTGACAAATATTGAGAACCGAAATATACTGAAAATTACAAATATGGAAAGCTTTACTACACACAATTCTCACTTTAAACTGCGGAACGAATTACGAGTTATGTCGGTGATTAATGCTCACAATTTATTAACTCGAACTTCTAGAGTGTTAAAGTTAAATTTATTATCTTATTGAAACCCCAAAGAAGACAAAATCTGACAACTTATATGGCTTTCCACTTCGATCCGAGAACCTATTCATTCGGCAGATGTTTGTCGAAGCCATCTGCATTTTAGATTGCAAGGAATGCAAATACAGTGGGTCAATCTTGGAGAATAAAGACCGCTCTTGTTGTTTCTTGCAGTGTAGCCCACACTTACTTGCTCTTATCATAGTGAGACATCGGCATCAGCAACAACAAGAACAACAAGGCCAGCTGCTGGCAACTCCATTGCGTAGTTGGGTAAGGAAAAAATTTAAATACACAGAAGCAACAGCAGCAGCAACAGCAGCAAAATGGGAATAACAGAGACCGCAAGGCAAACAAACAAACAAACAAAAACCCAGATATACCCGCACACACTCCAGAACTCACATGAGAGCAGGGGGTGTGTGTGGTGTAAGGAGTGTGTGTGTATCTGAAACAACTTGAAAATTGAGCTGACAACAAACCGAAATTGTATTACAAACGCTCGCTTGAGCGGGCAAAAATATGCACATAACTAAAGTTCAGATCTCGAAGATATGATTCGGGATCTATATGCATATGGATGTGAGCTTGTGTGTAAATATGTGCGGGTCACAAACAGGGTTTTGAATGCGGATTATAATGGAGCAAGGACAAAACGGAACTGAACTGAACCCCCTCCATCCCCATTTCACTTCACTGTTCGACGCCTGTGAATTGTATCTGGCGAATGTATCTATGGCGCCCGCTCGGTTAATTCAAGATACTTTGCATATGACAAATTATGCAAGCGATAAAACTAACATTTAAGACTTCATCAGCCAGCGGAAAGGAGTTGATTCGAGAGCTAATACGAATTTAATATGACCCCCAGCAATCAACGGAATAACGATGATTTTGGGATGGCAGCTCCACTAATCCTGAATGATTAATAAATGATGGTAACAGCCGAAACAACCGCACTATGAATATATAATAGACAATGGAGCCGAAATAACTTTGTGTGTGGGTTGCATGTGTTTCAAAGTGTGTTCGGCATCGAGTGGCATGAGATTTATGGCCAAAAATTGCGGACACATTGCGATTAATGAGCGGCCAAACAGGCGTATGCTCAATGGCCAGAAAACATGCGAAATTTATCATAAAGCACTACATATACCTACGAGTATAGCGCATCAATACACATTAATATTGACCATTTTTGGAGTCGAATATTTTGTTGCGCAAATGATATAAATGAAATTGATTTCCGTGAGGGTAATTAATTAATTTTCGTAGCTGGCCATAAACACGATATCGAACAGCAACTTGTTGCCGTAATTTGTCGGTTCAGATAATGCGATTGAGTGTGTATAATAGAATCGAAACTCTCCCAAAAGACCGGGCCTTTGATATAGCATTCCCTCTCTGAAATCTGAATTCGCAATGCACTTTTGCAGCAATAAATAAGTGACTAACACTCGCAAGGCATTGTTTACATAAGCAGCAAAAATAACGCTACAATTCTAACGAAATACAATGGAAAAGGGCGGGGAAAATCGGAGGGGAAAAGTGAGAGGGGAGGGTTCAATGGAAGCCCGAGAGTAACAATAATGACGCTGACTATCTACCATTTTGTTGTTTTTGGTTTTGGTTTTTGTTATTGTTGTTGTTATTGTCTGTCTATTCCATTGCCATGGAAATTAGTCGGTTGAAATGTGAAAAAAGTGTACAGAAAAGGTTCCGAGAGAGAAAAAGGCACAAAACAGCGAGTCATAAATATTGCTAATGAATTTCCCGCACGCTTTGCTAAACAACAACACAGAACCGAAACGAATCGCGTCGCTATTTTTTTTTTTGTTTTAACCATGCTGGAACGGAAGTTGGGAGCGGGAGCATTTGTTGTTTTGGCATAAAATAAATATAATTAAATGTAATTTTTATAATGACAAATGCTTTGTTGTCTGTGGCGCGCCCCCTCACCGAAATGGGGAACTTGGACTGGGCAATTACGACGGCGGCTGAGAGCACAAAAAACATCCACAAAACCGAAACGAAATCAAAATTTTTGTGTATCCCAAAAGCCGCAACGTAAAATCTAGAGCGAAAGTTAGGTTTACAGATCAATTTTGGAGGCAGTTACAAAACAAAAAAAAAAAGACGAAAACCAAATTGTGTTTGCCCGCTGGCAAAGTCGATTCGCTCGATTAGCTGGCAATTGGATGGGGCCAAAAGGCCCTTCCCCCCACACACATCTCTCCACTCAATCAGTTGAGATTCATTGTAAAAGATAGAGACACACACACGCTGGCTAATAGATGCACGCCCACGATCCTCGGGGGCATTATGATGATCAGCTCTCGGCAAACGAGTTTTGCCATAAAAATAAAGATGATTTTGGCCAGATCACTTGTCAGCAACTGAAATCACAATTAGCATTGCTAATGCGTGAGGATAGACAAAGCCCAAAGTACTCGTATCTGTAAGTGCGCGCTGCAAGTATCTGCAGCTCCCACGTGATCCGCTTTTTTTCGTAGATTGTTGCGCATTCCGCTCGTTGACGGCACTTGAGATACGCGATTTGTTATAGATACACTCTTGCCTTAGATGCAAATGTATCGTGTTTCGTGTCAAATGCCCAAATTTGTCAACAGTTCATCATGATGATGTGGATAATGATGATGATAATAGTGGGGGCTTTTACTATACGAGTAGAAGAGCCCAGAATTGGATGAGCTGACACGCCTAGTGGCAATAGAATAATAACTCGTCTCTACGGGCCAAGTGGTTCTGACCATAAAATGGGTGGAAATATCTACTGTGTCATTGTTATTGCTCTGCACTCGCAGTGCCACTCGGTTGCCAGTTGCACAATTAATATTTAATAAGCCAAGTCCTTCTGACTTTGCCGAAAGTTTTCTCGAGTGAAATATTCCGTTTCTCAGGCTTTCCTTCCTGCTTTTTATTTCACCTCTTCTTTATCTACATGTTTTCTTTTGCAAATTATATGAACTCTTCTTTTCAGGTTTGTTTAGCTACATAGTTTGAAAATTTCTAATACCTTATAAAATCATATAGATACATTATTGATTTAAAATATCAATATAAACATTCATATGAATACATTCCTTCATTTTCTACAATTAATACAATTATTTTTTTGATTTTATATTCTAAGACGTAATAACTTGCAGATAAAATTACATTCACTTCGCCGTCGTTTGACATTTAATTTTTTTAAGTTCGCGGCTGAGTTTGACTGGGTTTGGACCACTAATTCATACTTGGCTCGGTTCGTTCCAAGGTTACTTCTGCAGGGCATGATGAGTTCGGCTTGCTTTTCAAGTTCTCCCACCCGAATGTTTGTTTTCGTTTTCAACTTTTCCCCTGCCAAAGAGACAGAGTGGCAGTCTCGGTTTTGGCTCGTTGCGATGCTTATGTGCCGCATATATTATGATGCTCGAGCAACATTTTTTATAACTTGGCATGCTCCAATTCTTTGGCGCAAGAGCCGGGCCTCATGCTTCACGGCAGCCGCCCGTCTCTATTTGCCATTGGCAGGGGGATTGGGTCGGAAACTTGAGGATGAACCATTCCGAATGTGTGTGCACAAGTATCTACGAGATAGTTTGTTCTGGCCAACTTTCTTCTCGCTCCGCCTCGCCTTCGCTTTGACTCTCTTTCTATACTCGTACGCCTGCCGGGATGTATGGACGTGAATACAAAAAGAAGAGTGTTCTTCCTTCGTTTTTCAGAAAATTACAAAATCCATTAAGTTGCTTGCACGCAACTTAAACATAAATCCATCATACGCCATGTGGCACACATACAGAGAGGCAAGGACAAGTTGCAAGTGGTGGGTGGTGGGTGGGTGCTTTTTGGCTGTAGTCTAGGTAGCTATGTACGCTACATAGTATAGCATGCAATAGCCACGCCCCCCACCACTGCTACGCCCCTCCGCCCCTCTGCTGATTCGGCTGCTTTTATTATCCACGCCATATTTAATGCACAAACATTCAGACACTCGAGTAGGTAAGTAGGTTGGGCTAAGTCTACATGAACGTCTATATCTTTGGGTATAGCCTCCGTTCCCGTTCGCTCCTTTTCCTCAGCCTGCAGGGCTTTCAATTTAATTTCCTTTCGAGACTGACTGACTGACTGACTGACTGACTGACGAACTTTGTGCTTACACTTTTCGCCCGCTCTTCGATACTTTCCAATTTGCTTTCAATGGACTTCATCTCCCTTTGAGGGTATGTGTATCTTTTAGCTGATAGCCTGAGATGCCATAAATCATAGAACCGATTACGCCAAATTGCAAACGTTAATGTAATAAAACCACGGCCCCCAAATTGCCAGTGGAGATCGGGGAGATTTATAGAAAGAGAGGGCGAGATGTGGGAAAAGTAAAACTCACGTCTTGGGAGAATTGAGCCACACGGCAAGACA